GTATTTTTTGATTAGCTGCTACAGATTGTATGTTTGTGCCCCCCGCCCCCCCCCAATTCATGTTGAAATCCTAACCTCCAATGTGAGGGTGTTAGAAGGTGGGGCCTTTGGTTGGTGATTAGGTCATGAGGGTGGAGCCCCCATGAATGGGATTATAAAAGAGGCCCCAAGAGCTAGCTTGCCCTTCTGTCATGTGAGGACACAGACAGAAGATGGCCATCTATGAACACGGAAGTGGTCTCTTGCCAGACACTGAATCTGCCAGCACTTGATCTTAGGCTTCTCAGTCTCCAGAACTGTGAGAACTAATTTACGTATTTTATATGCTACCCAGTCTATGGAAGTTTGTTATAGCAGCCTGAACTAAGACACCAGCTAATCTGTGCCAATGGTGTGGCCACTGAATTATCCTCGGTTTTGACTATTAGCACTAGTTGAAGCTTGGACAGTTGACACAACATGTCCTACAAGAACAGAAACATGAAAGAGAACTGAGCGAGAACCAAAATTCTAGCCAAGTAGAATGAAGGCAGACATTTTTAGGTGTTATTTACTTCTGGGTTTTGGGTGGGTATGAGTGTCCTGGAGGTCTATTTTTTATAGCAATCACTGTGTCATTTAACTCTGTGCAAAGACCACACATTCATTTTTGTGTGCCAGAATCCTAGAATATTTTTAAAAACAAATATACTAAATACATACACAGAAAAAAATTAAGCAAGTTAAGCAGAGCGAGTAAGCTAAATAATAAATTTGAATATCAATTCTAGTGGAAAATGAAATACTCTCCTTCTGGGCCCATGTGCCTGTGGCAAGTGGTTTATAAGTCCTGGTATCATTAGGACCATAAATATCTCAGTAAGACCACCCCATCACTTGCATTTGGTTGCCCAAGACCTTCCAGGCTGAAAACATTCATAGCTGGGTTCAGCTTAACAGCCATGGTTAATAAAGTCATTATTTTCAATGGTACACACAGGCCCTCCCCTGAGCTTATATACTTGTTAATCAAAGCTCCCCAGAAAGTACTCCTCAAAGGGAAGGCTGGTCAATAATGCCTGAAAATGTGCTTGTGCCCTGGGGCATGTCTTTTTTCTTTGTCAGCAAGAGTTGTCCTGCTGCACTGGAAATGGTAAATTGCATGTTGAACTTGGGTGAGAGAAAAATCAGTCCTGTGTTCATTTTCCCAGGAAGCCTAGCAGAGCGCCAAGACAGAGGGCTGATGTTTGCTTCAAAGCACAGACAGGTCTGAAAGCCAGTCCCTTTTGCAAGAGTAGTTAATTATCTGGCTACTGAGGCCATTGGTGTCTAGAAACCTTGAGAGAATTAAGTCTAGAATCGAAAGTTCCAAGGCAATTAGGATTTACCAACACTGCGGCCATGCTTCTCAGTGTTTTAAAATCCAATGCTCCGGTTCCGAATAACATAACAAGTTATCATTCTTTAGTATGCTTGACATTTCAAAGCAAATTAAATATTAAGCTTAGCTTTTCTAATAAGAAATTTCTCCCACTTCACTCTCTTACTCTCTAGTGTGACAATCAATACAGTTAAAATATCTGAGCTGTAATTGTTTTTAAATCCAATTTAAAAATTGATTATACAGATAATTTATAGAGGGAGAAAACATGAAAGGATAAGCATGAAACAATGTTTAATCTCATGAATGATAAAAAAAAAAAATGCAAGCTAAACCAAAACAAGGGAAATGTTTTCCCCTATCATTTCAGTAAATATGGAACTCAACATTATACTTCAATCCTGGCAGGGATTTGGGATTAGGGCGTTCTTGTGTACTGTTGGTGAAGTCTAAACAGGTAGAGCCATTCTGGAAAGCAATTTGGTAATATGTTTCAAAGCCTTAAAAACATTTACTTTCTTTGACCTAGAAAAAAATACTCCTAGGAATATATTTCAAGTTATAATCAGAAATGCAGGCAAAAATTTATGTAAAAACGTTCATTATACTATTATTTCTAATGGCAATCTGTAAATAATGAAATGTTGAAAATGGCCTAACAGTAGGAGAATTCTAAGCACTTATTCTAAATGATGTATAGAAGAATATTAAATTACCTGTAAAGTGCTCAGCTCTAACCTTCAGAATGATTCTGCCAAAGTTAAAATACATGCAAAGAGAAAAAACTGGGACAAATATACCCAAATATTAACAATAGTTGCATTATAATTTCTGTTTTATAATTTCTGTATTTCCCCTTTAATATTGTATTTCTTAGGTATATATATAAATATATATTTTATATAGGATGTTTCTTTTATAATTAGAAAAAGACAATTATTTTTTAATTTGGTCATATTGAAATCATATAGACTTATAATAATGAAAAGTACTTTTAAAAATTATTGGCGTGATTAATCTGTGTTCACATTTTCTAGTTTTTCTGTCAATAATGAAGTACAGTCAGAATCCATCTACTTTCAAGAAAAGAAATGAAGTGCCAGAATAGCTAATCAATGATCAAATCAGTAAGCGCTTACTGAATTCTTATTATGTGCCTAGAACTTTTATAAAAATGCCTTATTCTAGCCCATGCAACTCTCATTAGATCCTTTTTTTTAGAGTCCCTCAATATACTAACACAGGTAGTGTCCACAATGCCTTCTTGAAAACAGATTTATAAAGCAGATCATTTTAAAACAGT